GGATCCACTGAGCACTGCTCAGGCTTGTCCCATGGGCTGTAAACAGTGACTGCACCAGGTGATGGGTGGGGGCAGCCACCTCCCCTAGCCACATCCACCCCGGGGCAGCAGCAGGAGGTGACTCAGGCTCCAGGACTCCTCCTGCACTCTCCCCCCTGCTTGCTCCTCCCGCCAGCAAGGCCTTTCCGAAGTGTTTGGGGGACCCAGTAAGGAAGGGGCCCACAGCTTCCCCAGACCAACAGGCCCTCCCCAAAGCAGCCAAGCACCTTCTCACCGGGCAAGGCCTTGGGAAAGGGTCCCAAGGAACCCCTCCTCCCGGAAACGGCCCCCAATCAGAGCGAAGGAGCAGGAGGGAGGGGTCCTCTACTCCCTGGCTGTGTGGCATTGGATAACTCACTTAACCTTTCTGAACCTTGATTTCTCATCTGTTATATGGAATTGATAATATTTCCCACTGCAATAGAGTCATCGTGAGGGCTGAATAAACTAATACAGGTAATAGTGCTGGCACAAAGCACTTAATAAATACCCCACTTTACTAAAAATTGTGCCATAAATGTTAGTTCCACTCCCACCTTTCTCTGAACCTCAGTTTCCTCCTCTTTAAAAGCAGTATCTTCTGACATTGGGCATAACGGCTGTAGCGAAGCTTGAAAGGATTATGGGTGTAAACACTATGAAGTCCTATAAAAATACAAGTTGCGCTTGCCAACCTTCCAGAAGAATCCACCCCATTCCAAGACCTCATTTCTTTCAGAGCCCACAGTACATTGTGCCAGATAGTCTCCTATTGCCCTCCACAGTGGGACCCACACCTTAGCCAGAGAGTATGAGCCATCTGCCCCCAAAAGCAGGCAGGGAGAAGATGTTCCCAGGAGCCCACCCTGGGCCAGACTCCAGGCTCCATTCATCCCTGTGTTTTATCCTCACCACCACCAGGGGAGGCTGGTTTTAGATCCCCACTTTGCGGATGAGGAAACTGAGGTTCCGCGTGGTTAGGAAAGTTACCCGGTGCCTCTTGGCGGGAACGTGGCAAAGCCAGGACTCACACCCAGGTTTGTCTGATGACAAAGCCAGGCCTGTGCCTCCACCCCTGGAACAGCAAGCCCAGGTCAGCCTGCCAGCCCCTCATCTGATGCAACCCTGCACCCCAACCCTGGCCCAAGCAGGCTCAGACAGAGGCAGTAACGGTGAGCAGAGCCAGCAGCCCTACCCCAGAGCGGGCTGGGGCAGGCCGGGACTCCATAGTCACAGCCCGCGAGGTGCGTGTGCCAGAACCCAAGTGGGTGGGAGGCTGGGAGACAGGCGCTGAGGGTGCAGTTCCCGCTGACTCTGTCCCAGTTTCCAATCTGGGAAGGCAGGGGGCAGGACAGCCCTCCAGAAACAAGAGGCTGGGGAACCCCACCTTCCACCACCCTTGCTGGGTGTCCATCCTCACCTTGGGGAGAACCACAAGGCACCCTACTTCAGGGAGGAACATGGTCTGAGGACAAGAGTCCTGGGCGCCCCCACTGGGGAATGGAGAGAGCTTCGCAGTGAGTCAGCAGCCTGGGCCCGGTGTGATCACCAATCACTGTGCACCAGCTCCCAGCGTGGCCCCGGCTGTGGAGCTCCACGGCTCAGCAATGCTGCAAGCCCTGCCCTCAGCGAGCTCCTGCTCCAAAGCAAAGTCCCCAAACTCTAAGGTGGACCCAGACCCCAGGGTTCTTGCTAAAACTGCAGATCCAGGTCCAGTAGGCCTGGGCTGGAGCCTGAGGTTCTGTTCATCAGACCTGCTCCTGGCGGGAGGGGGCGGGGGGGCCGGTGCTGCTGGCCAGGAACACAGTGATGATGCTCCATGCGCGCTGGCATCACCTGGGGAACCAAACAAACAACCTGAGGCCTGAGCCCACCCGGGAGATGCTGGTCCCATCAGTTCGGGGTGGAGCCTGGGCATTACGACTTTCAATGCTCACTGGGTGTCCCTAGGGTGCAACCGAGCCTTCGCTGTAGGGACAGACATAGAAACAGCTTTTACACACCCTGAGGAAGAGAGGCATCAGACGATGTGACTGGTACACTCTGGTAAGCGGGCATTTCAGCCTAGAGTGTGGGGCATACACAAAGGGCTTCCTATGTGTCCGTTTTATAGGGCTTACTATGTGCCAGGCTCAGTGCTGGGCCCCCTACGTTCATCTCCTTTCCTCCTCCCTGGACCACCAAGAGGCTTGGCATAGACACCCCCATTTTCCAGGTGTGGAGACTGAGCCTCTCTAGGCGAAGGCGTTGGCCACGCTCTCTCAGAGGGTAAGCGGCAGAGCCACATCGGAAACCCAGGTCTGTCTGACTCCGAGGCCTGCTTATTCGACTGCATCTCCCCACCCAGGGGACGATGTCACAAAGAGGGTGCCGTTGGCACTGGGCCCTGAAGGTGGAGCCGGATGCTAATTCTGCGTCCAATGAGTTCCTCCTCTCTGACCCTGTTTCCTCGTCGACATAAAAGAGGGGGGACCATTGGTCTTCAGGACCCTCCCAGCATTCCCGTCCTGTGAGTCCAGGCTCCCGGGTTTCACCAACGCTCTGCTTCTCTCCCCAAAGATATAAAGTACATCGAGGTGACCTCCGCCAGATCAAGGTGCCACGATGGCCCCCAGCGCTGCTCCAGCCCATCTGTCACCCCGCCTTTCGGCTCCCCACGCAATGGTGGCCTCCTCCTTTCCAGAGACGTCCCCCGAGAGACTCGAAGCAGCAGTGAAAGCCTCATCTTCTCTGGGAACCAAGGCATTGGGCACCAGCGCCCTCCTCCCCCGCCTGGGGCTCTGTCCTCTCATCCCCCACCCTCTCCCAGCATCTCCATCCCTTGCACGAGGAGCAAGGCCTCAGGCCCTCATGGCTTTGGTTCCCCCCTGATGGCTTCTCCAGGCCTGGAGAAGGGCCTGGGAGGCCCAGCCACACTGGGAGGCAACGGGGTCTCTATGGTGTCGGCCCACCCAGCGACGGATGTCAGCTACGTATTTGGAAGGTAGGCCACTCCCTCTATGACTTCTGATGTTGCCTCCACAACACACACACACACACACACACACACACACACACACACACATCATAGAGAGATAGCCTGCTCTGTCAGCAAAAATCTGGGCATGCACCAAAAATAAAAATAGCTGTTCTCTTTTGTGCCATCACCGCCCAGTTCTCTGCAGGCCCCACAGCAGAGCTGCACACACACCTAACCTGCCCAGGACCTCTGCCCCCTACACTGATTCCAAAGCCACTGTGCCAAGGCGGCCCCTGGCAAGGAGACCGGGATCCCACGGCCATGCCCACTGGCACCGGCCTCTGAGCGCAGGGAGAGGTCTGGCTGGAGGCAGAGCTGGCCTCCTCCCCTTCTCCAGCTAGGGAATTCCCTCTGCATGAGTGCGGACGTGGTCCGATCTAGGGCCAGCCTGTGTGCAGGGCTCTGGGGGGCGATGGGGTGATGGAGAGGCTGGTGTGACAGCTCAGTCAGACCTGCCTCGCTGGGAAAGCAGAGGGAACCCGTCCAGGCCACATGACCTGTGAAGGGTCAGCTTACTTGGCTACTTTAATTGACCAAAGACCACAGTGCAGGGACATTTCTGTATCTTTCAGCACCCCTTGGGGATCGGGTAGGCATGCCTTTTGCTCTGGGCTGTAGGGAGTGGAGTCTATAGTATAGGGTGTCCCAAAATTCACGCAAGAAGTAATTTTGATAGAAAACACAGGTTTATAATTAAAAATTGTAAACTTTTTATTGATTCATAAAGTATACAGTATAGGGTTATCTATGGAATAGCACATCAGGTAAATGGCCTCCATGGCTTTGCTGGCACATACGCAAAGCCGTGGTCTTCATTGGTCTTCATTGTCCCTGCTCCTGGGCCATAATTGGTACTTGGTAATGCTTATCAAATTGAAGGGATTAAAATCAAAGGGCAACAGATATTAGAATGTGATTCAATAAACCAAGTAAAATTAGGCTTTTATTTTTTGTTGTTGTTGTTGTTAATGCTCACGCAAAATTCAAATCTTGAGTGAATTTGGGGACAGCCTATATTTTATTTGACCAAAGCCATAGACACCCAGGTCACTAAATGACAGGGCCCAGCTCCAGCCCCCGAGTGCCCACCTCACCACCCTAACACTCTGCCCACCTGGTGCTCTCTCCCCTGCAGCAGCCAGTCCCTCCTCCGCTCCAGCATCTCCAGCCCACAGTCCTCTTCTAGGTCCTTGGAAAGCCCAGCCAGCTCTTCCTCCAGTCTCCACAGCCTTGGCCCAGGGTCCCTGTGCACAAGAGCCAGTGACAACCAGGTGCCCATCAGTACCACCCCAAGCAGGGGCCAGCCCGGAGCAGCCTGTTCCCCGCCACTGGACAAGGAGCATGCCAGCAGCTGCCCCCCATCCATCGCCAACTCCATGGTGGACATACCCATCGTGCTGATCAACGGCTGCCCAGAACCAGGGTCTTCCCCACCCCAGCGGACCCCAGGACCCCAGGACTTTGTGCGACCTGGGGCTGCTTCTGCCAGCAACCCTTGTCCAGCCACCAGGAGCCACAGCCAGACCCTGCCAGATGCCTCTCCCACCGCATCCCCACATGGTACGTAGTAAGCCAATCCCTCAAGCACTGTAAGGTTCGAGGTGGGGGGTGGGGGTGGGGGGGGACCAGACAAGCACCCATGATTTCTGCACTAGCCAGTCAACACATTGATTGAGTACCTACTGTCTGCCCAGCACTGTGCCAGGTGGTGGGGACATAGGGATGAAAACAGTCTAGAAAGAGAGGCCAAAATCAAGGATAACTATAGAGTAGGACAGTGATGGCGAACCTTTTGAGCTCGGCGTGTCAGCATTTTGAAAAACCCTAACTTAACTCTGGTGCCGTGTCACATATAGAAATTTTTTGATATTTGCAACCATAGTAAAACAAAGACTTATATTTTTGATATTTATTTTATATATTTAAATGCCATTTAACAAAGAAAAATCAACCAAAAAATGAGTTCGCGTGTCACCTCTGACACGCGTGTCATAGGTTCGCCATCACTGGAGTAGGATAAACACGGAGGTAAAGAAATGTTCTAAGTCTTATGGGGCCACAGAGGGGAGGAGTGATCCCTTTCGTCTGCGGAGCTGGGAAGGCTCCGCAGAGGAAGTGACATCTTCGCGGGATCTGGAAAGCAGATCACAAGCCCGTGGCCAGAGCAGGAGAGGAAGGGGGGTCCCCTGCAGAGGGAACAGAGTTCGCAGTCGGGAAGTGTGGAGCACATGGCACGTTGAGGAAATGACTGGGATTTGGGGTGCAGGGTGAGGCCATTGAGAGTAATTTGGGGCCAGATTGCAACAGGCCTTGAACACCAAGCTTAAGAGCAGATCTTTTTTTAAATATATTTTTACTGATTTCAGAGAGGAAGGGAGAAGGAGAGAGACATAGAAACATCAATGATGAGAGAGAATCATTGATCAGCTGCCTCCTGCACGCCCCACATTGGGGACTGAGCCTGAAACCCGGGCATGTGCCCTGGCTGGAAATTGAACCATGACCTCCTGGGTCATAGGTCAATGCTCAACCACTGAGCCACGCTGGCCGGGCCTAAAGAGTAGATTTTACCCTTTAGGCTACGGGAGACCATCGGAGGGTCTCGAACAGGAGAGTTGATGGGGTCAAAAGATCACGCTGGCAGCTGCGTGGCAGATGAATTACGGGCCTGGCCTGGGCAGGGAGAGCAGTTTCTATTTGGTTCTGTTTGGACTTTTATGATGATGTGATCCAGACAAGTCGAAACGGAGCCTGAAGCAGGGCGGGGCAGGGGTGGAGGAGAGGGGACAGAGCCAGGAGACCCTCCGGATAGGGAAGCAGCAGGCTCCATGACTAACTCGTGAGAGAGAGAGGGAGAGTCAGTCAGTCGTAACGTTGACGTTGGTGGGTGACGAGCAGAGCAGATCGAGGGGGGGACAGGGTAACGGAGACAATGCGTTCTGTTCAGACAGCGAAAACCACAAACCGGCAAACACCCTACTTCCCGGAGTCTGTGACTGCAGGCGTCCAAGAGAGCAAAACCAACCAGAACCCAAAGCAGTAAACACAGGCTGAGCCTTAGCACCCCGGGGGCTCCTCTCCCGTGAACAGAGCCCCCTGCCAAGCCCCGGGGACACTGTCCCTCCTCGTTCAGCCATCACCCTCCCAGGGCTTGCTTCTCAGGCTTCCCTCGGCCACAGGATGGGTGTCAAGGTGACTCCTGGCAGGAGGGGGCGGGGGAGGGGGGGATGCTGACTCGTGGGCTGCTCAGTCCCACTCATGAAGCTGGAAATGCTGACTCGTGGGCTGCTCAGTCCCACTCATGAAGCCTTGTCAATGCAAGCAAATTACATGACACATGTGCCCTTGAATCTGCTTTGACCATTTTCCTAGGACAAATCATTTGCAGATTTTAGTACAGTTTTTGTGAGTTACGCTCAACTGGCCAAAACACACATTTTCAAGATGTTGAAATTAAGAACCACGGCTCTCTGCCCTCGGGACCCAGAAAATGGGCATTTTGGCATCTCACAGAGCACATGTACTCAGTGTGGTGAGAGTCCCATCCGGGTTTGGTGATGCCCCAGGATATCACTAATTAAACCCTGGGATCTTATCAGATTCTGCAATATATTCTCACAACAAAATCCATTGTAACTTCATAGGCTACTGGAGCATAAAAGACCCTCGAGAGTTTTGTTGTTTGTTTGTTTGGGGGTGTGTTTTTTTTAATATATTTATTTCAGAGAGGAAGGAACAGGGAGAGAGAAACATCAATGATGAGAGAGAATCATTGATCAGTTGTCTTTTGCACGCCCCACACTGGGAATCGACCCTGCAACATGGGCATGTGCCCTGACCAGGAATTGAACGACCGACCCCGCAACCTGGGCATGTGCCCTGACCAGGAATTGAACCGTAACCTCCTAGTTCATAGGTCGCCGCTCAACCACTGAGCCACGCCGGCCGGGCCTCAGAGGTTTTGTGGTTCACTCAGTCCCCTCTGGGCTTTAGGAGCGAAACACTTGTCCCAAATCAGAGTCAGGAATCCATCTCCTGGCTTCTGAGCACACGCTCGTCTGCCCAGATCTGCTGTTTTCCTTTCCTTCACCTTTTCTTTCATTTTCTTTCCCAAACTGAATCTATCCCTAAGCAAGTTATAGGGCTAGTAAGGGGGAAGACAGTATGAAGTCAAACAAATGATGCATCTCAGATTCACCTATTAATCCCTTACTTCAGTCCCCAGCAGGCAACACTAGATGTGAGAAACTATTGCTCATTAAATTGATATTTTTATCTATTTGCCTTTGATACCAAGGATACAAGGGAAGACTCCTAAATCCTAGATGCGCCAAGCCCTGAAATTCTTCTGTTGGATTTTGGCTCGTTAGGCAGTTGGAGATACAATGGGGTTGGGGTAGGAGAGAGTAGGTTGAATGGGGCCAATGGGCAGGGGATGGAGGAGGGTCTCTCAGCTCCCCTCTGCCCAGCCTACAGGGTTCCCCTTCTCTGTTCGTCTCCAGGTCCCGCCAGGGACGTGCAGCCCACCATGAAGTTTGTGATGGACACCTCTAAGTACTGGTTTAAGCCAAGCATCACCCGAGAGCAAGGTAAAGGAAAACAGTGTTTCAGGGGACGAAGCTCGGGAATCAGGTCGGGGCCCTGGGTTGGGGCAGAGGAGGGGATGGCCAGTGGCAGGTCCAGGGAAGGGCCATGTCCTGCAGACCTCATGCAGCAGCAATGGCGGAGGTTAGACAATAGAAGGGACTTCCTGGGAACAAAAGGCGATCCTGTCACATCTGCTGTCTGATGACCCTCTGGGCTAGGGGACGGGGGCTGTGCGCGTGGGGCGGGAACTGTCTCTGACCCAAGGATTGTTCCAGCAATCGAGCTGCTGAGGAAGGAGGAGCCGGGGGCTTTCGTCGTGAGGGACAGTTCTTCATTCCGAGGCTCCTTCGGCCTCGCCTTGAAGGTGCAGGAGGCCCCCGCACCTGCCCAGAACCGATCAGGTAGGCACCAGACTCTGTCCTACCGGAATGAAGAATAATGGGGCCTGGGAGGGAGTGAGGATGGGGAGAACACCTGCCCAGAACCGACCAGGTAGGCACCAGTCTCTGTCTTTACTCAAGGCCTCTCCGAGGCAAGGGGGTGTGGTGGGTTCTAGTCCCAGCTGGGCTGCTAGCTTGCCGGGTGTCCTTGGGCCAGGCCTACAGTGACTCCTGGGGGAGGGTCTGCCTCGGTCCTCCCAGCTGCCCTCCAGCGCCCCAGGCTCTGGGAGCAGCTCCTTTCACAGCCACCTGAGCTGCCTCCACCTCCCCGATCATCTCATGGTGGGAAGAGGAGGAGGAAGATCCAGACCCTCTCCCGGCTGCTCTCTTCTGGGAGCCCACCTCCTCCCAGACCGGATTTATCACGAGGGGAACTAATGTAAAACATGTGTGACAGCTTATGGCCTACTTTCCCGGGGTCTCACACGCGCAGCACACATCGGTGGGCATCCACCCGCCCCAGGCACTGTGGAAGGCACCAGGGTACCGCCCTGGGGAAGGAGATTACAAACAGGTCATTACAGTGTGAGGTTCCTGGGTGGCAGCCCCTCCCTAAACCCCATGATTGCAGCCCTGGCCCTCAGGGAGTCTCCAGTCTGATGGGGGAGCAAACCAATGAGGTAACTGAGGCACCAAGAGTTAGTGGGTGACCCCCCCAGAACAAGTAAGTGAGAGAGTGAAAAACCAAGGATGAAAACCCAACCGGGACTTCTCTACCCTGTGTCTCTCCGACTACATAAGGGCGTGCCCCCCCCCCCCCCGGGGGGGTTAGCACGGAAGCCTTGCCCAGGAGCCAGAGAGGAGGCCAGCGGGCGAGGTGGGTTCTAGTCGCAGCAGGGGCCATTGCTCAGCCTCCCAGGCCAGCTGGGCTCGGGCAGGGACCATCTGGTGGAGAATAATGGGGCCTGGGAGGGAGTGAGGATGGGGAGAGAGGACCCAGGCTGAAGAGATTTGACCTAAACAGTCATCGAAAACCATCCCTGAGAGCTCTTCAGACCTAGAGAAAGGTCTGCTGAAGGGACCAGTACTGGATGCAGGAGCCTCTGAGCAGAATGCTGGCATCTCCTTTGCGGGAGGGGAGGCCTCAGAGATGGGGTTCCCAGAGGCAGGAGGATGGGCAGTTAACCTCGGATGGACCCGGAGGAGGCGGGTCAGGAGGGCTAACACGGGAGCCTCTGAGCAGAAGGGCTGGCACCTCCTTTGCGGGAGGGGAGGCCTCAGAGATGGGCTTCCCAGAGGCAGGAGGATGGGCAGTTAAGCTAGGATGGACCCGGAGGAGGCGGGTCAGGAGGGCTAACACTGGGCTCTGGGTCTCTCACCCGCCTGCACGCTCTCTTCTCTCTTTGTCCAGGAGAGGACAGCAGTGACCTTATCCGCCACTTCCTCATCGAGTCTTCCGCCAAAGGGGTGCATCTCAAAGGAGCAGACGAGGAGCCCTACTTTGGTGAGCCGGCGGGCCCCTGGGAGGGACCGGCTGTCCTGGGCCGGGAGAGGCCTTCTCACGCAGGGCCACCTGTTTCCTCGCAGGGAGCCTCTCTGCCTTTGTGTGCCAGCACTCCATCATGCCCCTGGCCCTGCCCTGCAAACTCACCATCCCGCAGAAAGGTGGGTCTGGGCCCCACGGAGGCAACATCAGGGCACCGGGGCTGCTTGTTCTCACTAGAAAGGCTCCTAGTGGGCACATCTCTCCTTACACGTGGATTATGTTAGTGTCACAGTTAACGGCAGCGCGTGCTCCGAGGCCCGTCAACATCTCCACTTCCTAGCTGTGAGAATGTTTCTCTCTCTGAGCCTCAGTTTTCTCATCTGTGAAATGGGGACAGCCATCATCATACCTACCTATCGGACTGGTGTGAGGATAAAATGAGATCATTCAGGCCAGGCTCTTAGCACGATGCCTGGCACCGAGTGGATGTTTGAGAAATAGCAGCTTTCGTTGAGAGGATGAAAGGAGCACACATCAGCCGGTTTGGGGAGGTTTGGGGGGTTTTTTTTCTTCCAGGTCTAACATTTACTGAGCACTCCCTCATTCATCCATAGCTCACGGCAACCCTGTGCAGCAGATGTTGCTGTTATTCCCCTTTCGCAGATAAGAAAAGCCGGGTGGTGGGCGTTAAGTAACTCACTCAAAGGCACACAGAGCCCGGATCAGGAAGCCCCCTCCGGAGTTCAGAGCCCAGCTGCACCCCCCGATGGAGCAGGCCATCTCCTCTCGGGCGTGCAGGGGGAGCAGCAAGGGGGCTTCTGGGAGAGGAAGCAAGAATGGGGGAGCCTCTGGTGGAGTGAGGGCGACAGTCTCCCTACTTACAGCAAAGAAAGGCCTGGGGTTGGTGTGGGCCGGAAAGAAGTGAGGGGGTCAGGGGGGCCTCTGAGGACCGGATCACTGCAGCTGTCCAGGGAGGAGGGAGGAGTGAGGAGGGGAAGGAGGATCAAAGGGCTTGCAAGCTGGGCGCTGGCTGGGGAGCCCAAAGTGGCGCCCCCCCCCCGCCCCCCCATCGTGGGTGGGGGTGGAGATGTTCAAAGGGATTGTGAGGCCTGTTCTTCTGAGAGGGGTCCATTCACTCCACCGCCGGCCCCTCGGGGCCTGTTCCTTTACTTTGGCTCAGAATTGGGAGGCGGAGACGGAGCCTCAGACCCCGCTACAGACAGCAGGGCCTCCTGCCTGAAGAGATCTGCGGGTGAGTGGTGGTGTGTGGGCTCCAGGCTTGGCTGTACCCCCGGAGGGCGCCTCCCAGCCCTGCACGCACGCACACGCATGTCCACACGTGTTTCCCATCATCACTGTATTTCTTCATCTTTAACAAGGTGCCACATTCCTTCCCCTCTCTGTAAACCAGGAGATCAGAGGCTGCAGGGAGTGGGCCAAGGGGAAGAGGGGCCCGAGAGGAGGGGGCTGGCGAGGTTTACACCCCATCCTCCACACTCTGGCACATGCAGACGTTCTGGGGTCTCTACAGTGCTGCTCTGGAGGCTGTCCTGTGTCTGCCATCCTCTGTGGTGTCCTGGGGTTTCCATAAGGCAGTGATGGCGAACCTTTTGAGCTCGGCGTGTCAGCATTTTGAAAAACCCTAACTTAACTCTGGTGCCGTGTCACATATAGAAATTTTTTGATATTTGCAACCATAGTAAAACAAAGACTTATATTTTTGATATTTATTTTATATATTTAAATGCCATTTAACAAAGAAAAATCAACCAAAAAAATGAGTTCGCGTGTCACCGCTGACAC